TGTGTATAAATTATTCTTTGTAGAGCCGACAATCCAAAAACTAGGATAATTATGCGTAATTTCAGATTGATACTGGTTTTATAACCGGTTAGCAACCTTAGCACATGCTCAAATGAATTTATACACAAGTTCTGCAGAGTCTCTCTCGCTTCTCCGTGCCGTGCCACTGAAGAAATACGAGAGGACTTTGCTCGCGGGGTACTTCAGATGTTTTTACGTATTTATGATTTGCAAAATTGGTGGGGGAAAACTTGTTAATACTCTGTATATTTTCTACCAATCAGAACTGAGAACATGATCACGAATATGCTGCTAAGTCTTGTATAGGTAAATGTCCCGTGAGTTTGTGATCAGTGAGTTTGATAAGTCCGACTTATTAAAATAGAATCACATCCGTTTTAAACCTAGAACTATCATTTACCTTGTAATACTCTGGAACCATGTTATATTGTGCAAATTTGACAGCAACCTGAAATGAAGATAGTGAATAGAATTAGTCTAGTTCGTCGGCCTTTTTGGTGCGCCTTACTATTTTAGCGTGCTTGTTGACAGGTTAGCAGATTGGCTGGAATTTAAGTTCGAGTTCTTTCTAAGATATTTTCCCAAACGGGCATGCAGCACGCAAATTGATGACAGCTGCAATTTGCCTTCACGTGGAAGTTTAAGAGACTGGGCTAGAATAACAATCTCTTTAGAGGGCATATGACTCGAAAATTGACGTTGTTCTTTTTTAGTCTAATTTGAAAGATCATTGAAAACTAGTAACTTCTTTCACAGATTTTTGTTTTCTTGCTTCGTTTTGGAGATATTTCATTTTGTATGATAGGCGAAGGACCAACTTTCTATGTCACACATGCATAATGACTTACTTTAAAATGTTATATAATTTCGTCACTATCAAATAAATTTGCTTAAAATGAATGATGAGCACGAAATTTGTCCACAACAACACTGGTCATTTTAAATAATTTCCTTCACTGACGTCCTGGTTCCTGACTAATTCTTCTCTTACATGATTTGTTCCATGGAATCCATTATATTATTGTAAAGCTTACCTTGCCTCGTTCATGTATTATAACTATTTAAAGCGCCTTGGCACGAGGCAAAAGCTTACCGGTGTTTTCTCTGTTCCTTTTATGGCATAACCTTTGAACACGGAACCGAAGTTACCTTTACCAAGTAAGCCACTTTCGTCAGCATAATAGATCACATCTGAAAATTGAAACATTTGCTATTTTTTAGATTTGGACAAAAATTGTGGCGATGAAATAGCAAACGTCGTCTTGCCTTGCTTTGCCGGCCGGAATAAGCTGAATGCTGAATAATTATGTTATACTAATATATGCCAAATGCAGGGTGTATAAAAAACGCAATGGTAATTCAACAGGCCATTCCCTTTTAATTCCCTTTTGGCAGTCTTGGGAATTGTATGGAAGAATGTGATTTCAGCGGGCAATTTTTAGTTGGCGAGTAAGTGGCCATTTCTCATCGTTACGATTTAAAAAAGAGATAGGGTCGTAGCTAGGTGGGGGGGGGGGGTGCATATTCATATATTCGTGTTCTGCCCGACGGATTTCTTTTGAAAGCGATTGATTTTACGGTATGTGAACATGTCTTTGAATATATGAATAGACAATAATGGTATAGACTGATTTTAAAATTAGGCAAGGAAACTCAAATAAATGGTTCGTTGCGAAATATTGGTTGCGAAATGTTGTAAAATGAGGAAAATATAGCCTTGCAAAGTTCGCAAATTTTGTATACTTAAAAGTATTGCTTGCGGAAATTCCTACCACATTCCTACCACATTTAGGCCGAAAATGGTCGCACGCAATTTTTAAAAGTATACAAACTTTGCAAGGCTATATTTTCCACATTTTACAACATTTCGCAACCAAATTTTGTAATTTTACTAATTTTAGTATGCTCTTTGTAGCTGTGGTGATTTATTTGCATCTCCTTGCCTAGTTTTAAAATTAGTCTATAATGGGAATTGTCTATTGTACACCCCTCCAATTATCGCGTCTATAGCTACGGTCCTGAAAAGAGTATCATTGAAAAGCTAAATAACCGTTCTTTCGTCCTATGTAAAAATTGAGTTGTTTAATCACGTTTATGATGCACGACACCCTGTCGAATTTCCATTGCGTTTTTTTTAAACACCCTGTATAAGAGTCTGCGAATGATCGATAGTATATAATGGTAATTGCACTAAATGGGGTGCAATTTTGTCTGAAATTAAACATGTGATTACACGTGAGTGCGATTTGTAATCACAAGTTTGAACTTCAGACCAAAATTGCACGAGAAAAAGTGCAATTACTACTTTACTAGAAAATTCATGCATGCAGAAACACTCGCCTTGCTGACAAAACCATTATATTTCCCGAACATGAAGTATTTAAAGTAGTTGTCATGGTAACACGATAATTTTATTCAGAATATTTTTAAAATTGAATAATCCCCTAAAATATAATTTCTTTTAATTAAAAATTTATCAATTTCCCAATCATATATATGTTAGGTATGTTATTATATATAATATATAAGCTTTGTTATTAATTTTAAAGATGATGTCTACTCCTGTGCACATGCGCGAACTTTGTTTACGTTTTGAACTGCTGTATTTGTAAAATATGATATACTAACTGAATATATAACACTTTTCTGGTTCGCTATACTTGTAAATGAATATAAACTATTAGTTTCAATTCAAAAAAGTTCGAAAGATGCAAAATTTGGGCAATATTTATATCTGGGGGTCCCCCTTTGTTATGAGCAGAACTGATGCGCAGAACGGAGTGGACATCATCTTTAATGTAAAATTCAACCACAAAGTCAACCACAAAAGAACTCTTTGCAAAACCAGGGCCGCCCAGAGGTTGGCGGGGGCCCGGGGCAATTTTTTTAGGGGCCCCTATCTAAAAAAAATTTCACCGGAACAACCTCCCCCCCCCGTCGCCAAAATATTTTCGGTCAGTGTACCATTTTAGGGTACTTTGCTAATAATTGCTTTCGGGTAATTGCTTTCGAGGGACTTTATCTCATTTTTTATGCCAAAATTCGGTACTTAGCCCAAGAAAACAGATATCTTGTCCTTTGCGCGGAAATAGTTAACACATAAAAAAGGCTGGGGCCCAACAAAAATTTTTCAGGGGCCCCCAGGAGCTCGGGGCCTGGCCAATTTGCCAGCCCTGCCCTCTGGGCGGCCCTGCGCAAAACGTTTTAAAACGTACTTTATAAACTAAACTGCCTTTGTCGGCATTGAGTTTGAAATCTTATTCATTTTGAAACCTTAATTATAAATTAATTAAACATTTTTTTAGAACGGAAACAGTTCTTTGTTTACGAAAGACACCCCTTGATATTTCCCTAAATGCCGTGGCATAGCAACAAGTGAACAAGTTAAACTTTTTTTAAATCTCGAAAAGTTTTACCAAAAAAATGAAGAAATTTATGGATACTGTGAACACTAAAAGACAACCAATGTTAGTTTAAACACACTATAGGTTTTATTACAAGCAATTTGATAAGGTTTTGGTGCGGTTTCGTTCATTCAAACGGCATCAACAAATTATACGATATGTTCCTAATAATAATTTTGTTTCTATATGCAAAAAATTAGCCAAGATGGCAAACTCTGATTTGTTTATTTTGGTCAATTTGCCAAATCACATTTTTCTTAAAATTGACTGGCTAAGGGAATTCTACACTTTCCTTTGATTGACCAGCTAAAGTCGCCACTTCAATACGATTGGTTTAAAAATGATGGGATTACAACTCATGCTGATGAGAACAATTAAAGCTCAAAATTGTGCGATTACAGCTCTGAAATAGTGCGATTAGGGCTGTAATCGCCAGTGGCGCTGTGGGACCCATGTTTTTTGGGGGGCCAAGAGCAGTACTTTTCCGACAATCCGAAAAATGTTTCCGACTATAAACCAAAAAATTTTCCGGACGACAACATTTTAAATCTCCCCCCCCCCCCCC